TTTGACACCCCCCCCTGCAAGGAGCCATTGCTTTGAGCTGAGTGTTCATTAGGACCATTCTCTAGGCATGCCCATACAGGCGTCTGGACTCCTGGAGAACACAGAGAGCAGTTTTAGGTATATGCATATGTGTTCTGTGTGGGTCTTCTAAAATGCAAGCAAGATCCTGTCACATGAATCCTTCTGAAACTGGCATTTTGCACTGGCCAATACGTGTCGGAGACTCATTGTTGCCTAGACAAATAAATCTACTTTACCAGATTTAATTGCTGCAAACATTCAGAGCTGGGGGCAACTTCTTTTCTGTGGCGTCATCCCTTAATGGGTGAGTATTTGCATGGTCTCCGTTAATTTGCTACAAAACAGCCCCTGTGTGCCTCCTTCTGCTGTGCTTTATTTAGCGTTTGTTAGGCACATTTTATTCTAGAACCCTGGTTCATGCGATCAGACAGCCCACAGTCAGGTGGGTCTTTTTTCCCTCAGTTACTCATTGGCAGCACCCTCACAGATATGCCAAGAGGTGTATCTTTTTGGTGATTCCAAAGCCAGTGAAGTTGACAATAATTAACCTGGACATAGGCATTTTATATACTGTACACTGTTTTGTTCCGTGTGATGTCGACTTCTCATCCCTTCCTCAGATCAAAAGGCGGGGCTTACAAAACCTGTGGCAATTGTGATAGTGTGGTCAGATTCCCTAAAACTGAAATGAGAGATGTTTTGAGCCACTCTGTGGGTGCTGGGGACCGAGCTCTGGTTCTGTGCTAGGGTAGTAAGCACTCTTAACTCTCTTAACTACCTAGTCACCTCTCCAGTCCATGTGACGTATAGTTTTATGTTCCTGAACAACAGGATGAAGGGATGCGTTCGGAGACATGCAGCAGTTCGTGCATCTGTCATTGTGCGAACATCGCAGACTATGCTCATGCAAACCTCAGTGGAATAGCTGATGACTCTCTCTCTCTGGCTCTCTCTCTCCCACTCTCACACACAGACACAGACACCTACGGCCACTAGGGTTATGAGAGACAGAATAACACAAGATAAAACCAAGCATAGGCGAAAGCCTTGCCACGGAGTGATACGGTAAACAAATGTCTGAGCTGCTGCCTGCACAGGACAGGGTGCTGTTCTGCAGCCAACTGTGTTTTTGTAAGTACAAGTTCAGTCTAAAATAACAATCGTGAGTTTGGTACACTAAGAACACAAACCATAAACGCCAGGCAAACATGGTTGTTAATTTCCATTACCAAGGAGCAGCCGTACGCGTTTTGCTTTTGTAGCACGCAGCATGGCAGGCCTGTTTACATCGACACGTGACCCGAGTAGCTTGTGACAATCTGAGGATGGCTACAGCCTCCCTAGGTAGCCGGGATCTTTGCGCTCCTCCATTCCGCCCTTGTGGGACCACCACCCCACTGTGGTCTGTCCTTGGCGGGAATGTCATTATGCAGTTCGTGACTGCACACTCCTCTTCTGGCTCACCAGCTCCTGGCGTGAAGCCATTGTAGTCTTTGTCATTTCCTAAATGATTTAGAGCAAGAAGAGCATTTATGGGGGCAGACAGTTTGTTCTTTTGTCCTTGGCTCTTGAAAGTAGCTCCAGAGTGGTGACAGCGATGGACAAGCTTCTGTTTTTTGGGAGCCCTTGCGAGCACCTGTGAGGTGATGCGTTGGGAAGCCTCTAGAATGAATACTCAATGGGAGGGACAGCTGGCTGGGAGGACCCAGCCAGACTCACAGGGCCTCGACTCCCCAGCCTCCCGGGCTGAGGTTGACCACCACGGCCCGATGCCTTCATCCGTCAGACGCCTATCCAATGACATTCCCACAGGTCTTCCCCAAATGATCATGTTGGAGAACTTTGGACAGCTGAATGCATGGAGGTACTTGGAGGGTGACATGGAACCACCCCACTTCTCCTACATCCTGCCCTGCACCCCTCCATCTGACCCTCAGTTCAAGCCTGGACGTGTGGTTATCATCTGAGGGAGGGTAGGAGGCAGTCTTAGGGACGGAGCTCTCAAGCTGAGTTCTCTTCAGGTGGCTAGTGTCAGGATGAAATTGAGTTAGAAGGTGCTTGGCTGCCGTCTGCTGCAGAACTGCTTGCTTGCTTAGTGGGTGGGAGCCCTTTTCTCCAGATACCCACTTCTGCTGAGAGGATAGGACAGTTTGTTTTATTCCTTTATTTACTGGACTAACCTCTAAAACCCACTCTCTGAAACACTGCTAAGAGACCATGCTCATAACTCCTTGATTTGTTTCTATAGGCAATGTAGCATGAGTGAGATTTTTTCTTTTTCTTTTTTTTTGAGACAGTGTTTCTTTGTCCTGGAACTTACTCTGTAGATCAGGCTGGCCTCGAACTCACAGAGATCCACCTGCCTTGCCTCCTGGGTGCTAGGCTTAGTCTTGCACCACCACTGCCTGGCTCAGTGGGATGTTCTTTTAAGGGTCTTCTAGCCTGCCACTCCACCCCTCGTGGCTCTATGGTCCCCATACTGTATGATGGTGCTAAGTGAAGATCTGGCCATGTTAGTAAGCTCTACGGTGGGAAGGATCTCAAGCTGGCCTCACGATTCTCTGCTACTTCCACTCCCCTCATTGCTCTGGTGACTGATACATCACACAAAATGATCGTGTGGATATAGTTAAGGCAACTGTTTCGGTTAGGGTCACTGTTGCTGTGACGAAACACCATGACAAAAGCAACTTGGGGGGAAAAGGGTTTAGTTCACTCACAGTTCCACGTTAAGCATGCCATAAAAAACAACAAAACAAAACAAACAAACAAACAAACAAAAAAACCAGCGAGGGCAGGAACTCAAGCAGTGCAGGAATCTGGAAGGAGGAGGGTGCAGGCTTGCTCCATGGGGCTTGCTCAGCCTGCTTCCTTATAGACCACCTACCCAGGAATGACTCCACCCACTAGGCTGGGCCCTCCCTATCAACCACTAATTAAGAAAATGCCTTACAGGCTTGCCTGCAACCTAATCTCATTTTCTCAATTGAGGCTCCCTGCTCTCTGATGACTTTATCTTGTGTCAAGTTGACATAAATCTAGCGAGCGCAGTGACTAATCAGTCTACCCAAATAGAGTCTCTCCAGGTGGGTCTGCTTGATGAAGGCAGCCTTTTACAAGTGGCATTTTCTTTCAAAGCCGGTAAAGGATGATGCCAGGACGATTAGGTGCCAAGAGGACTGGGTGGTTCTGACCTGCCATACTGCTGTAAATGCTACATGGGAAGAATCTACGAGGCTAAGAGAGGTTCTGATGAAAGCCACCATGTAGGTGGTGACTTCAGTGCTTCAGGGGGAGGGAACATAGTGTCCTTCCTCAGTGTTTCTGGAAGCACACCTGAACGGGTCGGAAGTAGCTTTCCTCTCCGTCCTGAAGCAGCCTACGGTTGGCTTGGAACACCCTGAGCAGTCAAGCCAAGTACAAACTGTGACCTTCAGACAAGTGAAACCATGTGCAAGTGTTGCTTTCAGCTACCAAGGAAACGACAATTCATTTTACAGCAATGCAAAACATCCCTCCCAGGTTCTAACCGGTCAATGAAAACTTCTGCTGTAGACTTAACAGAACCTGACATCTGATCCTTACGGCTGTTACTTCTAAAATTATCACCATCCTTACAGATGAGATTCAAGGAGGTTTCCTATTTTTCTTAAGGTCCCAGTAAGTAAAAGCATCCCGCACAAGCAGCCAGCATCTCCTCTAGGCTTCCAACACATTCAAAAGCACACCCGTGGAACTAAAGACCCCTCCTGACCTGCTTCCTGTTAGTTCACCCTTGTCGGGTACTTATTCACTTAACTCTTTGAGGCCAGAGACTGCCACGCTCTGTTGATTCTTCGGCTCCGCACATCAGCTCCTTCCGCCTGCCATGAATATCCCTGATGGGGAGCCTTTGCAGACTCTTCCAGATGAGGACTCCCCTGCTGTGCAGCTTCCTGGGTGTCCCCCCCCAACACACGGTGACTCCCCTGGTCAGAACTCGGAAGGCCTGGCGTCGGAAATGTTTACTGAGCCACCGGGAGCTCCTGCCAGAGACTCACGTCCGTAGCCCTGGACTTAGAGCACAGTGGGAATCCAGAAAACGTTCTGGGAAGGAATCATTCAACCGACAAAAGCACTTTTCAAGAAGTAACGAGACATCTAAGGTCTTGAGAGAGGGGAGTGAGGTCTCCCAGCAGTCAGATGTGTGCTTTCCAGGACAAGGCCAGAGCAAGCCTTGCTCTAAGAGGGTTTCAAGCTTCACGTTGTGGCTTTGGGTTTCTTGTGTTCTGATACTTGACTTTTAGCATTTCCGGACTACATAGCAACGGCCTCAGTACCCCCACTGGAATTAGGACTGGCCATCAATTTACGTTTGCCCCCAGGTTCCCACTGTAACAGTTTTTCTGTCAAGAAGTCTGTGGGGAGTGGAAGGGCGAGGTGGGGATCTACAAATCTGACCTATGGGGAACTGTGTACCATCCTCAGACCATTGTACATGTGCTCATGGACCCCATTGTGTCTGAGGAAGACAAGAAGGTTTAGAAGCAGCCCTTACAAATCTGAGCTGGTGGATCACAACATCTCCATTAGAAACTATTGGGTGCCTCAGTTTCCCCGCCTGTGCAAAGTGCAGTTAATATACAGAGGGCGCTGAAGGACCAAGACCACGCGCATCTGGGGGCTCTGGAAAAGGGTTAGTCGGGTTAAGGTGTTTCCAAACAGCTCTAGACGCAAGGCAAGGCGAGGGAGGCGCAGAGCTGATGCCCGGCGAGGTGCGGGCTCCAGGCTTTGTAGCAGAGAGGTCCCGGAGTCCTTCTTTGCTCAGGGTGGATAAAACTCTTTATCGGACGCCAGTAACCCGAGCCAGGGGCTGAGCCGGCGGCGGGGCTGGGAGGGGCGAGTCTGGGCGCCGCGCCTGCGGTGCTCTCAGCTCAGGGCGCTGGGGGCGGGAAGAGGTGGAGTCAGGTGGGGGAGGAGCAAAACCCGGAGGCCTCGGGCACCGCGGGCAGAGCCAGAGTCGCTGGAACCCAAGCCCAGGCGTCCCAGTTGCGTCCCAGTTGCGCCATGGATCCTTCAGAGAAGAAGATATCGGTGTGGATCTGCCAGGAGGAGAAGCTGGTGTCCGGCCTCTCTCGCCGCACTACCTGCTCGGACGTTGTTCGGGTGCTTTTGGAGGACAGCTGCCGGCGGCGCCGCAGGCAGCGGCGGGGCCAGCGACAGGGGGCGGCGGAGGACCCCTCCGGTCCGTTGGAGCTGCCCGATCCCCCGGACGAAAACGACGACGAGGAGGACGACGACGCGCTGGCCCAGGGCGTGCTGTGTGGTCCCCCGCACTGCTACTGCATCGTGGAGAAGTGGCGCGGCTTTGAGCGCATCCTGCCCAACAAGACGCGGATCCTGCGCCTCTGGACCGCCTGGGGCGACGAGCAGGAGAATGTGCGCTTCGTGCTGGTGCGCAGCGAGGCGTCGCTGCCCAACGCCGGGCCGCGCAGCGCGGAGGCGCGGGTCGTGCTCAGCCGCGAGCGCCCCGGCCTGACCCGGGGAGCCCCGGCGCGGCCCAGCCTGGCCCTGACCCAGGAGAAGCAGCGGCGGGTGGTACGCAAGGCCTTCCGCAAGCTGGCCAAACTCAACCGGAGGCGCCAGCAGCCGCCGCCGCCGTCGCCTGGCTCGTCCGCGTCGTCCGCCGCCTCCTCCTGCTCGTCGCTCCCTCGGACCCACGAGGGCGCGTCGGTGGAGCGCATGGAGACGCTGGTGCATCTGGTGCTGTCGCAGGACCACACCATCCGCCAGCAGGTGCAGCGGCTCCGGGAGCTGGACCGCGAGATAGACCGCTACGAGGCCAAGGTGCACCTCGACCGCATGCGGAGGCACGGGGTCAACTACGTGCAGGACACCTACCTGGTGGGCGCCGGCCTCGACCTCGACGGACCGGCGCCTGAAGACGAGCCCGAGGCCGGGACGCGGGCGGACGAGGGGCCGGAGGCGGCGGCGCCCCTGGACGGCGAGGCGCAGGCGGCGGCGCTGGAGGAGCTGGCCCGGCGCTGCGAAGACCTGGCGCGGCTGCAGGAGGAGCGCGCCCAGCAGGAGGAGTTGCTGGAGCGCCTGTCCGCCGAGATCCAGGAGGAGCTGAACCAGCGGTGGATGCGGCGGCGCAGCGAAGAGCTGGCGGCCAGAGACGAGCCCCCGGAGCCCGACGGCGGCCCGGATGGCGAGCTGCTGCTGGAGCAGGAGCGGGTCAGGACACAGCTCAGCACCAGCCTTTACATCGGGCTGAGGCTCAGCACGGACCTGGAGGCCGTCAAGGCGGACTTGGATTACAGCCAGCAGCAGAGGGACAGTAAGGAGCGCGAGCTGCAGGGCCTCCTCCAGACTTGGCGCACTTTTGAGCAGACGGTGGTGCATGACGGGGCTCTGGGTTCCGGTGGACCCTCTCAGGAACCTCAGCCTCAGACCTGTGCAGAAATGTGGGTGGACCAGGCCCGGGGACTAGCTAAGAGCTGTCCCGGCAACGATGAAGACTCGGATACCGGGCTGAGCTCCATGCATAGCCAAGACTCGGACTCGGTACCCCCAGTGTGTGAATCCCTCGTGTAGAAGTTGTAGGGAGTGACCCTTGACACTTGCAGCGCGCGCTGGCCCGGCCTGCTCAGGGACACGAAATGAGGCCGTGGGGGGTGAGCTCAGAGTCTCGGGATGGGTCTGGAGAGTGGAGGGGGTGCCTGTCAGGCAGCGTGCTCCTCTGACTCAGGGTGAGTGTGGGGGACAAGGAAGCTCTAAACCTCCTCAGCTTTAGAGGGAAAGGGAGTCAGGAGGTGAGAACCCCTCCCTATTTAAAAAAAAAAAAAAACAAACAACAAAACACGTTAGGTAAATCGACAAGGTCCAAGCCCATTTTCAAAACAAGAATAAAAGAAAGAAAGAAAAACATTATGGACATGTTTACCACTCCTCTGTATGGGAAGGACTGCTGACAGCTAGAACTATGGTCTGTGGCATAAAGTGCTGTTAAAAGAAAACACTTGGATGAAAAGGAAATTCCTTGAATGTTAATTGTGACTGGAAACGTGTTAAAACTAGCCAAAGAGGACGCACTAGTTGGTCTCTGCCTTGCTTAACATCTTTGATAAAACCCATAGGCATCAAAATCCTGGCTGTTTACATTTCTTCAGGTTTGGGAATTACCCGTCTGCTAAATCATTTGCCTTTTATTTCTTCATTGAAAAGCCAAACTGCATTGAAATCTAAGGCTGTGTCTTCCTACTAAATACAACGTGTTAAAAGCTCTCCACCCCCACCCAAACATAGCACTTTGAGTTTTAAAATTCTGGCCTACGTAATCTGGGTGAAAATGTAACCTGGCTCTTTGGGGTGTGTTTCTGCAGAGGCAGAGGTGCTGTCTTCTAGTTCATGATGCCCAGTCATTGACTCAATTACAGCTCAGGAGAAAGGGAAGTTGCAGAATGAAGCACAGCCCACTTTGCTGTTTAAAAGAACGTCAGTGTCGACTACAAGTTGAAAGCAAAGATCTTTACATAGTGTTTAGCTGTTAAATCCAGCTCTGTGATTTAAACCAACCATGACCTTTCATGAATTTTATGCAGACCCAAGTCCAACTTTAGTTTCGTTGGCCGGAGATAAGGTTCTGGTTCAAGTAAACTGCAAATGCCAATTAACTTCAAGTGCAAACAGTAGGGTTTACTAGCTAAGGCCCCCAAAGAGGGGAGAAAAATGAAGCAATCCAATAGGCCACTGTGGGTAAACAAATAGATTAACCATAGCACGGAGCCATGGTAAAAGCACATCAAAGTGAGTTAAGAACTTGAGGTGCTCCTGCCTGGCCGCGCCCCTCTGCACGTGGCAGGGGAGATATAAGGGTGACATTGTCTTCTGTGGTTGGTGTAATTGTTCCAGGTATTTCAATTAAAACTTATCAGTTGTAGTTAGCTGTCGGGCCAGTGGAAGGAGCCTGCTGGTCCATTTCCCTGTGGAGCTAGGTACTTTCTGAGGAATGTGGATCTAATCTGTCCGGAGGAGGCATTAACAATGGGGTGTGTGTGTGTTGCCAGAGGTACAGAAGGCTGGTATCAACTGAACTAGCAAGGGGCCTACTCCCATTCCCACAGTGACGTGCAAAGGTAAGTTCCGAGGCCTTGGGATTCATAGCTGTTTCCTTCCTTGTGGGATCAGCTGTCTGAGTGTCCCCAACAGGAGCTCTTGACATCACCATTGGAGCGTCTTTTTCACTGACTGTCCCAACACTGAAGCTGCTTTGGAATTATAACACAAGTGACTGTGCTCAGATTTTCAAGTAAAATCAAAATGAAAAGGCAATTCTCTTAGTTGATGCTTTTTGAAAGACCTTATTTGGTGAGGTTACATTGATGTTGCTTAGTTTCCTCTGATGCCGAAAACATCCACACACTTACTTGGTCCTGTGGCATCATTCAAAGGAGGGAGCAAAAGAGACTGCCTGTCCTCAGACAATCGTTTGATTCAGTAAGTGCAAAGCTTAATGACAGCCTTCCTTTAGAGGCAGAGGTAAAATCCTCATTAGACTGTGACAAATGCCACCTGTCTGAATGGTTTATGCTGGCAATGGGCTGACCTGGTGGTTTTTTTTTAAATTATTGTGCTTTTATTTTTTTTTTTCCTTCCCCCTAGGGTTGTAGGAGAGGTGGTTCTTGGACGTTTATTAACTCAGAAAGAACATAGAAGTTGGCAGAGCGTGGCTGCCTGGCAGAAAGGAGCTGTTTTTCTTTTGACTATTATTATTTTAAACTTTGATGGGTAGCTGACGTCAGCAAATATGCCCAAAACCTGCAAAGCAAATATGCCACATCACAGGAGGAAGGCCTGCGGGGGTTTTGAGAACATTTCTCGTCCCTACCACCTGAAGATGTTTTCCTACTTAAAATTTTTCAGGCAGCCTGGGGCTTTGCTTATAACACAGGGCAGGCCAGTCTGCTCCCTTTTTCCTTTTGTTCTAATTCTATTCCTAAAATGTACACTCTTCGTGAGCAGGAGAAAGGAGAATGGGGGTGGAGGAGCGGGAGGAGAGGCAATAGCTTCTTTTGTGAAAAATCCTTGTCACAGCCATCTTTGTAGGCTCAAAGTCTCATCGATGCTGAGTGTGTTCCACTTGCCTGCATATGGGTAGTTCTCGGGACACTAGGGAAGAGACAACATTGCTGGCCCTGGCCCTGGGACAGGAACTCCTGCCCTCTGCTCGTTCGCAGGGCCATGACAGTCCAGCAAGCTTGAGAAAAGAACAGCGTAAGGCCCCTGCCCAGCCAGCTCCATCTTTCTCCTGGAATCAGGACAACCCGTTGTGCGTTTGTTCCTGTGCGTCCCATTCACTGTGCTCTTCCAAACCCAAGATTCCATATGGCCTCACCGCGTTTACTTCCTTTCATAAAATGTGGTTATTAGTTCCATGAGATGATGGCTTCGAGGGTAAAAGCTGCTTAACACCAAGCCTGACAACTGGGGTTTGATCTTCAGGCCCCACAGGGTGGGAGGAGAGAACTGACTCCTGCAGGTTGTCCTTTGATCTCCACAGAGGGGCCTTGTCATGGACCCGTGACCACACACACACACACACACACACACACACACACATATTTAAGAAAAGATGGTTGTTATCATTACCATTATTTTCTTCCTAAGAAAAGCTGCATAGCACAATCTTGACGAAAATGTCTGAAAACACCGTGAATTTTGGAAAGAAAAAAAAAAAGCCACACCCAGTCTCTTATCACAAAAAGAGCTTGTCACTCTTTGCCAAACTTTGCCAAAGTTCCCTAGAGGACTTTTTGTCCATTTTGAAGCTTTCCTAGTTTGCTCTGTTGTTACACCTAATTCTAATAGGCTTGTATGCATGCTTTGACCCCCAACCACTCACAAGCAGGTCCATTCAGCTGGTAAGAGCTTCATGGTTTCTGGGACAGCTCACATTATCCCCCCCCCCGGTAACTGTTGTAAAACAACTTGGTGCTAACCCCCTTTACCCCTTTACGAACACATCTGCTTTGGAAATTCACCTTCCCCGACTCCCAAAGATTTCCAGGAAGAGAATTCTCACATTAAAGAGCAGACATATTTATAAGCTTCATGCTTATTGCCACGCTGCTTTTCAAACAGTTTATTCTAATTAAACTATGCATAAGAGTACCCATTTTATCCTAGATGTTGTTAGCTATTGCTTTCTTGTTGTTATTAAAAAAAAAAAAAACAAAAACAGTTTCGTCAAAATTAAGTCACGTGGCCTCAAAATCAGGGCCTCCTGAACATCCTACAATATCTTTGTAACAAGGTGGGTCAGCTGGTAGACCCTCCTCGGATGCACCTCAGAGACTCATAGCCATAGAGCTCATGTGTAAATGCTCAAGGCCCTGGCTTCGCTCCAAAGCTACAACAACAAGGACAAGAGCCTTTACTTAGGGGAGTTAGGAGGACATGGTATGGGGTAGAGTTGCCCAGCAGGTAGGAGCCCTGGGTTTGATCTGCAGCATTATGTAAAACCAGGCTTAGTGGTTCATGACTGTAATCCCAGCATTCAACAGGTGGTAGGGAAGAGTCAAAGGTTCAAAGTCATACAATGAGTTTGAGGCCAGCCTTGGCTACATGAGGCCCTGTATTAAAAATATAAAAAGAGGAGCAGGAGGAAGAGGAGAGGAGGAGGGAGGAGGAAGAAGAGGGCATAGTGTTCTCTTCATTTTTTTTCATCCTTCTCTGGAAAGATTTACCTGCCAGCAATCTTGTCTCCCATCAGAACTGGCCAATGATATGAAAGTAGGAGGGGCCAACACTCCATTGGAGTGGGACGGAGAAGATAACAGAAGAACTAGAGTTACAAAAACAAGCAATTATCTTTTTCAAAATCTCAGTCTAGCGGAACAGTGATTCTTAGAAGGTGATGTCATGAAAACATTTGTGTTTCTCTTTACACACCTCTACCAAAAATTAAACCTAAACACAGTAAACACACAGGCCAAGTTGCTAATTAACAGCTGCTAGCAGTATATAGGGTTGTCTTTTTTTTTTTTTTTTTTTCCTAGCTAGGGTACTGCACTTGGGCTCATTCTTAAATTCTTTTTAATTTTGATTTTTGATTTCCATGTATTGTTCAGTTCTTATTCCCTCTTTTTTTAAATTAATTATAAATTATAAATTAATTCTTTATTTCGGGAGGGGCACATGCCTTAGTATGAGTATGGAAATCAGAGGACAATTTGCTTCTTGCACCTTATGGGTCCTGGTGGAAGTCGGATTGCTGGGTTTGGCAGCAAGCCTCTTTTCCCACCTAGCCGTCCTGCCAGCCCATCCTTAAATTCTTGAAAAAGGAGGTGAAGTTACCAGCTTGGAAGTGTTTGCCCAGTGCACCTCCTCACAGGAAGGACAGAGAGTGAGTGGGGTGCCAGTGTTGCCTGAATTCTTCTAAGAGGCTACATCGTAGGGTGAAATATAGAGTATTTCCCTTGTGGGGTGGGCCTTTTGACTCTCCACCTTTTACAAAGAAGCTAAGTGTGTTTTCTGATCACTAGTTGACGTGAGTGCCAGGCGTGACGATACACACTTTTAATGGGAGCACTTGGGAGGCGGAGGCAGGTGGATCGCTGTGAGTTCGAGGCCAGCCTCGTCTACAAAGTGAGTCCAGAACAGCCAAGGCTACACAGAGTAACTCTGTTGGGGGCTGGGGGGAGCTGATATGAGATTCTAGCCCAGCCTGGCCTTGCAGCCAGCCTGCTTTTGAACACGCCAGACACCTGCACATAGAGCTTGGCAGACCTGCGAGAAAGCCCTGGAGAGGCTCTGCCGTTAGCAAGGTCTTGTTTGGTTGTTTTTCCCAGGGAGGTGGAACCACTTCCCCCATATCCCAGAGCCAGTAATTATCTATCAAGTGAAGATTTAGCACAAGACAGAGGTGAGGCGTTCCTAGCAAATATTTGAGTGGCTATGAGAAATAGAAAGAGGGACAGGCATAGTGGCACACACCTTTAATCCCAGCATTTGGCAGGCAGAGGCAGGTGGATCTCTACGAGTTTGAGGTCAGCGTAGTCTACAGAGTGAGTTCCAGGACAGCCAGGGCTACACAGAGAGACTTTGTCTCAAAAACAAAAGCAAATAAACACACAGAAGAATAAAAAGAAAGAAGCGCGCGTGCACACACACACACACACAGAGAGAGCGAGAGAGAGAGAGAGAGAGAATATTCTTATAAAAATTAACACAGGACATATTAATACGGAGGTTTTGACTGAATGCCCCAAGGTGGTTTACAGAGCAGAGTTGAAGTCCTTGGCGGCAACAAACCAAGCTGAGCCAGAGCTGTCTCTAGCTCTTCAGTTTTATTGACAGGGGCCTCATGCAGCCCAGCCCAGCTTTGAACTCCCTATGTAGCCAAGAGTGACTCTGAGCTTCGACTCCCTGGCCTCCAGGTGAGTACTGGAATGGAACACTAGGCCAGCTTATGTGGTGCAGGACATAGAACCCAGGCCTTCCTACATACTAGGCAAGTACTCTACCAACGAAGCCACACCCCGCTCCACCCAGCTGTTTTAACTGGGTCTTTTCTGGTGAGCTGCCACTTGCAGGAATGTTAGGAAAGGGCAAGGGCAAGAGTTACTTCGTCCCCCCAAGACCGTTCCCATGCATTTAAACCTGTGCACCTGGCTTAAGGATGTCCTTAGCCACGAGGCCTCCACGTGTGGACGTAAGGCCTGAAGACCACTGTTCCATGTTCAGCCTTCTCATCCACTCCTTTGTAAATCATTTAGATACTTGTAAGATGTCCCCAGAGCTTTTAGGATGGCACCCACATTACTTAGCAGGATTGAAGTTGTTGGTTTTCCATCTGAAGGCCCTTTGCTCAGGCCAACATGACCCTCAGGATAAAGACTAAAGAACTGAATTGATCCTAATTCTTCATTCAGTCATACTTCAACGTCCAATCACGGCCAAGGACACTCCTTTATCCTATCTGACTCCACCGAATGTTCCCTGTGTCAGCCGGCATTCCATTACTGTAACAACATACTTTGAGAAACCAACTTAAAGAGAGAAAAGGCTTATTTGGGCACCCAGTTTTGGAGGTTTCAATCCAGGATCAGTTTTGGACCAGTGTATAAAAAGCACATTGTGTCAGGGATGTTGTGATGGAACAAACAGTCCAATCTCATGCCAGGAAGTAAAAATGAGAACAGAATAGGAAAAGACCAGAGTCCTATAATCTCTGAGGACATTACTCCCATGACTCAAATTCTTCCTTTAAAAGTTTTCACAACATCCCAATAGCAATAAAATGGGCCCAGAGCCTTTTGG